TCTCGATTTTAATCGGGAAATAAATCATTATCAGTAAGTCGCAAAAAACTAAGAACTAACTAAAACTGTTCAATGTGGAAAGTTTCAAAATAAATAAATAAATAAATAAAAAACAAAACAAAAAAAAAACAAATGTTCTCTTCCTGACTCATATCAGAGATAGTCATGAAATTTGCATTCTTGGTGTTTGGTTTGTTTTGTCTGCGAACCTAGAAATAAATGAGAATATCAAATGCGAATTTTAAAGGCAAGTTAGTCAAATTGATAAAACAATAAGGGCAAAGAAAAATGAATAAAAATAATGCAGGTAATATATATATATATCTGAATCAATGAACAAGAGTAATCACACATACACACACACACTAGCACACATGCACACACACTAGCCCACACACTCACATGCACATACAACCACACACGCATGCACGCATGCACATACACACTATATATAGTATAAATACTAATTATGTAATAGAAATTCGTCTAAAACAGTTTTTTTTAAAAAATGCATCAAAATGAAGTCAGTCGGTGTAGAATAAATAAATAAAAAAAAACATGAATTAAAATTTAACAAAATTTTCAAAAAAAAAAGAAAAAAAAAACCAATTTGATGTTGTCAAAAACCCGACAAATTAAAATTTGATAACAGGCGCGGTTTGATTGGATAGATATTTTTTGACTTTTAAACCAATGGAGATAAAATTTATATGCCACTAATGGAGATAATTTGATCCAGTTGGAGCTACTAATTAGCTATATAAAGAGAAAGTTTCCCGATGACTATTTGATACTCACATAACATACTGAAGGCAAGACAGACTGGAGAAAGCAGCAAATAACCCCCACATAACAATCTTGTGTCATTGGTTGGCAGAATAGGGATTAGGGAATAAATCAAAAGACAAAATTTACAAAGAGCCACAAAGGAGCGCAAGTTGTGAAGAGCCATGACCGCTCAATCTGAAGCATACAAGAAAAAGAAGAAAAGGATATATATATATATATATATATATATATATATATATATATATATATATATATTCGTAAAAATAGAGGATGCCCGTCTACTGGGGGGATGTGGGGTGGGGGGAGTTCTAGGCAATCCCTATTGCAGACGCTCTCTCAGGTAAATTAAATTTGTGTTTGCTCAACACTCACAGAGCCCACCTCTGGTTTATGCTGCAACTATGCGGAGTAGATCTTAGTTACAGTTTCCGGGAGAAAGCGTGATAAACAATTTGAACAAGGCCAGCCTCTCTCTGTCTCTCTCTGTCTCTCTGTCTCTCTGTCTCTCTCTCTCTCTCTCTCTATATATATATATATATATATATATATATATATATATGTGCTTTCTAAGAAGTTTTATTACTAAGCAAATAGAACATAATACTGCTTCAACTAATCACAAACATTAATCTCCTATATTGTAGTCAAATGCATACTAATTATAAACAAGATGAAAATATACTAAAAAAATTAGTAAATACTAATATATCTACAACAGATCCTAGCAAAAAAAATTTAGGTTAATCATATACTACACTAAATCTAGTTTATCTAACTTAATTATTCGCAATGATTCTTCCCCCTCCCCGTTAGTGATTTGCAAAAAAACAACATAGTTTACAAATTCAAGTGCCCTTTGGGATATTGTATCTCCAAACGATTAAATAATATTTATGTTGGTCACACTACAAACTCGCTTTCACGACGCTTGACTCTACCTTTGAATGATAACTCTAACATTTTTAGGCATTTAAAACAACATGCCTGGCCGCGTACACAATTCCGGAAAATCCTCTTTGAAAACACAACTATACCTAAACATGAAAACAATAAACAAAAATTAAAAATTCTTCAAGCTATATACATAAAACAGTTTAAACCTAACCTGAACAAAATAAAGTACGAAATTTCCACAAATTTTCTTAAATGCCTATAATTGATAACAGAAGCCATTGGTTTATACCAACGGCTTCCCATACTTAATACTTCTCGTTTTCACTCTTGCGTGGTCATATGTGACGTCAAGAGCTGCGATGCGATTTTCGCTTCCGCGTCTCGTATACACGAATTTGTCGTTGCTTTGAAATTTGTCATGTAACAAAAACAGACTATCATTATTGTTTCATCCGTATATTGTTTGATATATTGAAATGTAATTGTCATCTTTGATTATGGCTTATGTAAGTCGAAAGCTTAGATTGGATTTAAACGTGTATCAATATGGTGATTTCCTTTCGTCTATCAATGATAATGTTATTAAGCTTATCAGACAATATGAAAGGAACTTACTTAAAATAAATAGACAAAACTTGTCTATATTATTTAATGAAACATGCATCAATATATATATATATATATATATATATATATATATATATATATATATATATATATACATATAGAGTGTTTTGAGAGAGAGAGAGAGAAGAAGAGAGAGATAAATAGGAAAAGGCTTTTTTAGGTTAATAATACGAAGTTCTTTAGTATTATTCTTTATTTTTAAAAAGCAGCGCTCAATACACACGTAGAGCCTATATTATAATTATAAAAAAAAATATGATTCCATTGCTACATCGAGTTCTTATGTTTCAAAAACAGAAGCTAAAAACTACAATTTAATTATAGAAATTAAATTAAAGTAAAGTAACTACTTCTGTTTCAACCTCAAACGAATTTGGGAATAACAAATTTTGAAATTTACACATCTTTATAAGAATATACATTCGTAATATTAATTTCTATGGAAACGGAGAAAACCAATCATTTTAATAAGGGTGGTAGGGTTTACATTTTCACTGACAGCTATTATATCAATTATCCATATATATATATATATATATATATATATATATATATATATAATTTAGGCAGCATATTTTCATTCAAGCATGTTTAGTTAGAAAATTTAGACATATTATGTCTATTTATTTTAGTTTTAATCCGTTCAAGTCCACGAATTTATTTCTTGGTGGCTGTAGAACATCGATCAAAAAGAATTCCAATATATATATTCAGTTTGTCTCTTATACAGATACGATCTGTCTGAGAATATTTACACACACACACACACACACATATATATATATATATATATATAGGATTTAATTCCTATAAGTGGGCGAAAAATTCTGGTTGCATTCACGGAATTTTGTGAATAGATACCCATTCGAAGTAAGCATTGGTCATAGTTTTGTCGATGCGTTGTTTAACAAAATTACTCCTCCAGATGTTAGCGTTTTCATTGCTCCGAAGCGTTTTTTTCTGATCTTTTATTTGTCTCACACTAACTGAGAAAAGATCATAACTAACAAGTAAGTATGAGGAAAACTTCAGAAAGTACCTCGTGAATTTCTCGGGATAGTATTTTTTGGTATGTGTAGGATTTATCAACCAATCTGTTTGTGTTTTACAAAATTTAAGTAGAGTTTTTAATATTGTCTGATTTCGATTTCATTTTTTTGCGCAGATTTTGCCCCCCAAAAAGTTAACTGGAAAAGCAAACGGTTTGTCTTCCATTTCTTTTCAAGTTTCCTGTAATTTGCTTCCCCACCTCTGAATATAAAACAAAAGAGAGTTTAAAATAAATGTTCTGTTTAAAAAAAAAAAAAAGATTTGTATATGGAGCACACAGTAAAAACCGAACTACTTAATAGTAGTAGACAGACATAGATATTATTTTTATTATTATTTGCTTCTGTTATCAGGCGCTTTAAAACATCATTTTCTAAAAAGCATAGATAAACTTGCTTAATCACTCGTATCGGCTTTTCATACCTGTTTAACTAGGCTTATCTACATCACAGTTCATGAGGAGAGATGTAGAGGAAAAACATTGAAAAATACAAATTAAAAAAAAAGTTGCATGATGACATTGAAAATCAGTATTCGATATACTTAGCTTCAACCTAGTCTGGAACTACAACTACTCTCACCGATCGATGAAAAGTGAAGAAGTTACTACATCAAGATTCTTATTAAATAATATTTTTAAAGCAATGCACCCCAAGCAAGGCGGGAGTAGCCACTATCACGTAAGGGGTTAGTTTAAGGTTCGACTATGGTATTGTTCAGTTTTTGAGGAAAAAAAAATAACAAAAATTGAATAATAAAAAATGATATCGACTCAAAAATAAGTAAAAAATGTCCTAAATGAAATAATGAAAATAAAAAAGCATATTTTTAAACTAAAATTAAAAAAAAAAAAATAATGGAGAGAATGAGATTCGATCTTGCATCGTTAAATGATTAACAATTTAAAGCAAAAATTAACAATTAAAAGCCAAAATTCACAAAAATGGTGAAGGGATAAATATTAAAAATAAAGACATTTTTAATAATTAGTAGTTGCCGGGAACAAAAGACAAGGAGGCTTCGCTAGAAGGTTTGTAGAGATGAATGAGAAACTAACAAACTGTAAAGTTAACACAAAGTAAAGAAACCCACAGCTAACCTCACTTGCCGAAAGCAGATTGAAATTTAGTCATTATGAACTTATTTAACATCGGTGTTTTCGTTTGCAATATCAGTAGAAATTTCTTCTTTTCAAATCTTATAGTTAATATATTTTAAATTTAATTAAAAAATGATAGTAATTCATTTGTAAAGGTAAAATTCTGCAAAAGAAAAATTATTTTCATTCAAGAGTTTCTGTTTACGTCATCAGACACTGCCTCGAAATCAAAAAGTGAATGTAAAATTAAAACCGGTATGTAAAAAACGAAATTTTGGCAAAACTGTTGTAAATAATTTAAATATTGCGACAAATTTGTAAAATAAAAATGTTCATTTATTTAAAGTGTATAATGTAAATGCAAAATTTGACATGAAGTAAAGTATAAAAGCGTGGATATGTATTTTACATTCAGGCCGAATGTGATAATTTCGTTCCGTGTCATTTAAATAAAACGCATTTTTCTTTTTTTAGTTATCATTTACTTTCGTGACAAGGGAAATAACTTTGTATAAATTATCTTAATTATCTCCCTTATCAGATCGTATCTATCTATCTATCTATCTATCTATCTATCTATCTATCTATCTATCTATCTATTTTGGCAACACATTTTTATAGAGGTATCATTGGAGATGACTGACAAGGCATTGCGATTAAGCTTTTTTATCATATTTTTCTTGCATACCTACAAGAATTTCCTTTTTTAATATATAGAGTTTATTTTTTTAAGTAATAGAAATGAAATGTTTTAATTACCGCATACACTCAGCACATTGTAGCCGTGTACATAATTAATATGATTAAGAGTATAAGAATATTAATTAAGAAAAAATGTACATATTAAGAAAAACGAAAACATCCTTGATACTGGCTGATAGATTATTGTATTTGAAAAGATTCAAAAAGATTTTGGATCATTTAAACAGAACAATAATTTATTTTGTCCCCAGACATCCTGTACGCGGCAATTGGCATTAAAAAATATAATCGAAGGCTTAATCGTAATGTCTTGTCTGTCATCTTTTTTTTAAATCATTTCACCCCAAGCAAGGCGATAATGCTGCTAATACAAAAACTTTAGAAGCACTCATAAACCCAACGCTAAACAGGAAACAAGGGATAAACCTCTACTCCTGTTAAAAAAAAAAAAAAAACTGAGAAGGAGTGTGAACCGGGCGGTAATGAAACCTTTATGTGTACGAACCTACTTACGCACGAACATATACATACAAACACAAAATCACATGTACAATGCCAAAAGATCATTGGCTAATAAATCAATAATACATTTTCTACAGGCAATTTACAAATCGCAGTAATGCGACAATTTTGGAATCCCTTTATTTTTTAAGTAGTCAAATTTGTGCATTTTTGGGAGAAGTGGCTCACAGGAGCTTCTTTAAGTCTCTCCAAATCTCGCTCGCTGATTGATTGATGCCAACTAATCAGATCATTTGCGCGTGAAGAATAATTTTTCCCGCGCAACGAATCGGAGGCTATAGTCGCTTATTTAAGCCAAGATTAGTAAGACCCCAACTGCTAAACGAATCTACGATAGTTGGAACTCCAGTTCTAACCATGTGCCAACCTTCTCACTCACACGCACACCCACATGCTGATGATAATTCGTACACCTTCACTAAAATTTCTTTTGACACAACAATACTTTTCAACAGTAATATCACAAGAACAATCATATCATGAAACACTTATGAACATTTATCAAGTGAACTTTAAACCAAATAATTATCTCTCAATGAACTCTTAAATTTCAGTCAAAGAGAGGCAACTCTTGATTAATTCAACCTTTTTTACTTAAATGCATGTTTTCTTTCACATCGTTGTTTGATATTGTACATCTTGTTAATATACATATATTTTATGTGCAACAATATCTTGTGGTTATTTTCTTGCGTGAATCCCGTTTTCTTATCAAAGTTAAATTAATGTGATGAAGTCCCCCACATATGTCTACATGTCCAAGTGAATATGCATATGCGTGCCTTTTTATTTGTGTTTGTAATTACTTACGCGTACGTATCCGTCCCATTTTGCATTAGAAGTATGTAATTCAAAAAAGGCTACTCCGTTTCTGTCATTTTTAAAGTCTTTTTACATATTCATCTTTTTATAACTTCGTTGTATATTATTTAACTATTTGTTTCTGTGCGAATTTTATATAAGAAGGGTAATTTTATATGGAAAGGGTATAGCGGCGTGGGGCGTAGGGGTTAAAATGAACAGTTGATTTACCCACGCCAAGAATATTAATGAAGGCCGATAACGAAGAGAAAACACACACGCATAATTTTAACAAAACAAGATAAGACATTTATTTACGAATTTACACGCTTGAAGTTTTGCCAGTAGCTCGTTTCCGGTGAAAATAAATCAGAAATGTGTCCTGGGTAAGACAATAAACCACATCCGCGTGCTGGGTAAGATGATAAACTACATCAGTGTCCTGGGTAAGACGATAAACTACATCCGACAGTAAGGCCTTTATCAAACACCTCTTAATTGCTGGTGTTCCCAGGTCCACCTGTCAGGGTCCCAGGTATGGGCAAATATTTACCCACCCCCAAAAGAGGCAAAATTACTATGAAAGTATAAAGGTACCAGGAATAATTTTTTGGAATTTTTTTTTACCAACAATACATTAAAAAAATACCAGCAATTCCTTTTTGAAAAAAATATATTACCAGCAATACATTTTTGAAAAAACAAAAAAATTACCAGCAATACATTTTTTGAAGAAAAAAATATTACTAGCAATCCATTTTTGTAAAAAAAAAAAAAATTACCAGCAATACATTCTTGGAAAAAAATATTGCCAGTAATAAAATATTGCCAGCATTAAATAACCCATTGAGGTTGATATACCATAAAACAAACCAAACCAAAACAAACCAAACCAGGCCAAACCTAAATCAGAAATTTTTAAACTCTGTACTTTTAACGAATTGTCATGAAAAAGAGATGTTCTTACAACAGATTAAATGTTCTGACACAAAATAATATTAAAAAAAATGTTTAAAACAAAGTTAAGAGACTTCGCTGCTTACCGAAGGGATATATGGTTTGCATACTTTCAAAAATAGACGAAGTGAGGTAGTTTGTAATATTTAGTTTTTTTATGTTGTTGAGAGAATATTTGAAATACCACATGCTTGGTTATAAGCTGATAATATAATTGGCGAATAATTTTACACTGACAAGAACTTCATCGCTGGTCGCGAGGAAATGAACTGCAACGAAATCTTTCACATGACGCCAGATATTCCTCTCTGATTAATTTAATTTTTCTCCTCATTTCATATCAAAAGGAATTTCGCATAGGATAGCTACTTTCTTTCTTCTTGGCTCAACAACTTAATTTCTATGAAGACAAGATTTTCATTGGCCCAAAGAAAATTTCACATTGGCTCGCAAATTCATTTCTGTCTTTTTTCTCAGTCTTCCGAATTATAAAGGAGTGGGTTAATGGAAATTATTATTTCGCACTCACCCCAAAGGAACAAAATTGTAATTTAAGTTAGATTTTTAAAAATACAAATAACTTACATTTACAGCTATTTAATAAATTTACGGCTATTTTATCATTGCATTCTCTTTTGTACGCATTTTTCTACGCGCCCACATCGTGATAGGATACGACACAAGGTCAAAGTTTAATGCGAAGTTTCCGGAAAGTTGTACAAGAATTGCTCAAGCTCTTTCGGCACTTACCCTTTTGGGCACCAGCGGCATTCCAAAGAAGCGGTACCGCCTGTAAGGGTGCCCTCTATCTGGACCTTGAGTTGGTATTATGTTCAACTTCCCTGACGTATAAACACCAGATAGGTGTTTATCTGCATTCTCACGCCATATCAGAAAGTGACACAAAGTCGGAGTTTAATGTAGGATTACTGGTAAGCCTTACAAAAATTGCCCCCTCTTCAGCACGTCCTCTTTTTGGGACGTCTCAGGTATCAGCTAATGATCCCCCCCCCCCAACCGCAGGAGAGGTATGACGACAGGGATGACCCATGGGGCTTGAGTTGATATTATTTTTAATGTTCACAGAAAGCAGGTAGGTTTCTGCTGCATACCAGTTTAAAAGGTATCTGGGTAACTGCCACAGACTTTCTAAGTAAACTCGGAAGCCACATTAAATGCCTTCTTTGAACTTAAGTTTTGGTTCTGTTTGAAAAGGTAATCTAAAGCTAATCTGCATGAAAAGAGAAATTAAATTCCGTGTATAAATAAACTTTTGATGCATTTTAAAAAAATTAGTAATTTTTTTTGTCACTCATTGACTCATAGTGCCGCCATTTTAACGAAAAATGTAAACAACAAATTAAAAATTCTTTTAAAATTAAGGATTAATTAAATGGATTTTTTGAAAGAACTTCTGACCTTTTACTTAAAACAATGAAAATAACATTTTATTTAAGCGCGCTAACCCGTGAGATCAAAGGAAACAATAGAAAGACTGTAATTCTACCCATGTCCGAAAAAGCGCGGGTAATCGTAAAAATAAGACCTAAGGAAGTATGATGGAAAATCAACAGCGCGATCATCAAGTCCTTGTTATTTAAGTTTAAAAGTATTTTTTTTAAAACTTTATATAACCAATAGTTTAAACCATTTTTTATTCTATACGCTTTTATTAAATTTAATATAATGAATAATTTTATTTTTTATACTAACTGAATGGGAGATATGAAATTAGATTAATATCGTAATATTCCTCTGACATTGAATAGTAGTCAGTTAACGTGAGATATCAGAATTATTTCCTTATTATTTTTCCTTTTTGTACCTCTATACTAAAAATAATAGTTGCTAAAAGGAAAAAATAAAATAAAATTATTTAAAAAAAGTTTCACACTCGAAAATGATATTAAAGTAAACTTTAAAGTTTTTTAAACTTCAAACATGTCTTTAATTAATAAAATAAACTCTAATGGCGAACAACAACGGGATTAATTTAAAAATTACCCTGAAAAATTACAAGAAATTAAAAAAAAATCTTATTAATTTCAGATTATTTTTCTGTCGAATCTGAAAGAAAATAACGTGTTTTATTAAATTATGCGAGCACCAATACTCTTCCCACCCAAAATATTATTTGAGTTTTAGTTACTACAAAAATGAATACTTTTTTCCGCAAAAAATTGATATCCTCTGTTTTAAAATATCTATCAAAAATCAGAAAATTATCTGATTCAAACGAAATTTTCAGGACTTATTCATTAGTCAATGACTATTTTACTGGATGGGTTATTGTGAAATATTAATTATTATTTTTTTGCGGGGGGGGATTTTTTGGTCGAGTATATTTTACACCTCCTTTTCCTATATCGCGTGTGTACTTTTTAATTTGAGGGGTATTCGTCCAAATTTTTTACAGTCATATTAAAAGAAATTCCTGAAAATATTATTTCAGTAGAAAACGTATGCAGTATCGAATGTTAACATACTGAAAATTCAGCTAGAGTATCTTGACAAAAAGAATTCAATAAATGTTTTGCTAAAATTTCGTTTTGTTTTGCCAGGTTTAATTTTATATTAACTTTTCTTCGATTTTCAAAGTATTTGTTCACATTTTAATTGAAAAGACTTGAATCTAAATA